TGGAGTATAAAATAAAGACCAGGGCAGTTCCTCACCGGAGTCTCTCAGTAGGGAGCTGCCCTTGCTAGCAAGAACTCTGTGTGTTTCTCTTCTCTGAGTCTTTACTGAAGAAGTGTTTTAGAATATTTTCCCTAACACATCGTGATTGCACACATACAAACATGAAGTTGAGGACCACATGAAGTTTGGAGATCTGTAGTGATTGACTCTGCAGAAAGTTGGACATCTCTGTACTCTATGTGCTGTATGATTTTATACTCACCACTTCATGGCTGAGTTGCTGTTATTCCATATTGCTTCCACTTTGTTATAACACCACTAACACTTGGCTGTGGAATATTTAGTAGCGAGTAAATTTCACAGCTGGACTTGATGCACATGTGGCATCCTATCATAGTACCACAGTGTACCCATTATTGACAAATGCAGAGGTAGTCTGTATGCCTGGGTGCTTCACTTTATACACATGTGGCCACTGAAGTGATTGGAACACCTGAGTTCAATTATTTGGATGGATGATTGAATACATTTGGTAATATTGTGTATAAGAAAAATGTTTAAATTAGTTTAGGTTGCAAGAAAATTTATGTTAAAGTAAGCGGTTGTTCAGCCTAGAAAACTGAAAGTCAATTTAAGTGTTTATGTTTACATGGATTCTGATCCAACACCACTGGGGTCACTTTTCAGTTCTCAGTTTTTGCAATCATAATCATCATAATCTCAAATAACTGTGCATTTGGGAAGATCGCAGAAACATTCATATTCATCCTTGAAATATATCAAACAGCTACTATAATAAAATATAAGTGTGAAGTAATGATTTCATTACAATATTGGTGCATGTGTAAAAGCAAGTTCTTCTAGCTATAACAGTATATGTTTATTTGAACTGCATCATCCAGACAAAATATAACATTAAAAAAACGTATCTGCATGTCTGTGAATGAATCTCAGAATTGTAAATAAAGATGTGAAGGTGCCAATCACGAATTTAGATCTGGACGTCCACTAAGGGAGTCCATTCACCAAATTTCTTCAGGATAATAAACAAACAAGCAGACATGGAGGGATAGAAACACCTCTCACATAATCGACAGACACTCCAGCCCCCTGTAAGAGCAGGACAGATGTTCCAGCAGTCCTCTTTAATTTTCTGTCATATCAAAGCTGCTGCACTTGACTTAGGCTCGTGCTTACAGCAGTGCTGTAACAGCAGGAATGCTGTGCTCCTGTGTGGTCTTACACGGTGTGATCTGCATGATTTAGGACCCTTACATTTTTAAAACAGCAGCAGCACATTTTCTGATAGTCAAACATGAAAAAACACGGAGCACCTCATGCCTTCAGCACGAGCGCATCACTGATTCTGCTTTTAATGTGTTTTCCACGCTGAATTAGAGCAAATATCATATAAAGACAGGGCGGCATGGAGAATACACGGGCTCTACATTTAAAGGGGCTTGAAAGCTAATTATAATTGCAAATTGGGAACTTGACTCCTGGCTCTCCTTTGACAGAGATCCAGCTTGAACTCATCATTAAATGTTGCATCCACTGATATTCCCCAGTCCTCAGACATTCATGGCTATATGTATGTTAAATATTTGTATCACATTAAATGCATCTCTAACTTTGTTATCATTTTAAAAAGAAATCTCTTTATCAGTAGATAGCTTTGATATATAATAATGGATATAAAAGACATGTTATCACGTCTAAAACCGAAGCTAAAACCTGTTACTAATGGCAACACTTGAAGACGGAACGAAAAGTTGGACTTTAAAGACAGCGGGGAGGCACGGTAAAGGTACAAAGGAGATAACAGCCTTCATGGTGTCACAGCAGTTGTACACAAAAAAGTGACAGAAATAATGAGAGCATAAGAAGTTCAAACCATTTCCAAGTTTTTCAGCTCCACGTAGCAGACTAGTTACTTTATGAACTCAGATGCTGCTGGACAGTCGAAAGTATAGTGTCTGTTAACTGTCTCAGTGGAGAAGGAAAATCTTTGAGAAAATAGGAACAAGGATGTTCAGCCACACCCAGGTGTTGTCTTTAAACTGCATTTATGCTTATTTTGTTAGAAGACATAAGCTAGTGCCTTCACAAAATAGCTTAGCTATCTAACAGTTAACAGAAATGAGAGATAATTATATCACTGTTAGGGCTGCCACAAACGATTATTTTGATAGTCGACTAGTCACCGATTATTTTTGCGATTAGTCGACTAATCAGATTGTGCATCCATTGGACGTAAAACGTACAGCTTATTGCACCAGCATGCATCTGCTCTTATATAACTATCATTAGCTTACAGCTTGAAGTGTTTAAGGTATGTGCTAACTAAAAATAAAGACAAGATGATAGTTTATTAAATTCTAATGAAGTTTGCAGATTGTTTCGGTGAAGTTTAATAAACTCCTTGCTATCTAAAATATAACAGGACACCGGAGTATATTCTCCAGCATCTCACATTCTGATAATCAGCTGTCTGCTTGATGTTTATTCAGCTGTGTAAAAACTATAACTTTAATCTCAGCCAAACCGATTTACTCAGGAACAAATAAAATACTAAAAAAAGCCAAATAATATCATTTTTAAGTTATCTAAGTGACTTATATATCATGTTTAACCTGAGTAGCGAAAGACGGCGGTGGGTTTGAAAACGATTTGCCGGGAGTCCGATGTTCTCACCGGCTCTATTGAGCCTTGAACCCCGGCTAGCTAACGAGCTAGTGGGTAACAGACGTCTCCGAAAACGTCGGAGCGCTTTTGAAAATATGTGGTGTCTTGATAAACTGAGCAGATATTTGAGGTTTACACAGCTACATTCTCGCCTGAAAATATGTTAATATTAACACTAACTAGCTGCTGCCATTGTTGGAAACTGAGCTGGGTTGCGCTATGAATTCTGGGACAGAGCTTCTTCTTCTCCGGGGTTTAACGGCAGCTGGCATCCTTGCACATGCAGTGCTGCCATCTTCTGTTTCAGTCCGTTATTACACTCTTAAATACTACTACTTATTCCTGCGTCTTTTGTGATCTTACAAAGCTTCAAACGACGCGTCGACTATTAAATCAGTCGTCGACGATTTTGATAGTCGACGTAATCGTGACTAGTCGACTAATCGTGGCAGCCCTAATCACTGTGGTAACAGGACTTCATCGTTCGTCATTATTTGCCTTTTATGGTTTGGCTGGATTGGAATTGGGAACCTAAAATCTCTTCAGCTGTTTCATAGAAGAATGCTGCATAAAAGACGGACATTACCAACAGTCAAAGATTAGTTTGTAGGTTCTCATTCTGAAGTCTTAGCTGGAGCATACTCACTGACTGACACATTTAGTTTTTGAAGAGCCACAAGGTAACATATTAGAAGGAAGTGCTAAATAATCAGCTTAAATGCAAGACTGAAATTTGCCATTACTGACGCACAATTAACCAAACATTGACGACAGTCAGATAACCAGGTTGGCACCCACCTGTCACTCCCATGTCCCAATAATGTCCTTTGGAACTCCAAGTCGGGGGTTCGACTCCCAACCAGAGCATCTGTATTCAGTAAGGGTCCCCCAGCTAGACCCACCCCATGCTAACCTTGGAGATGAGCAAGAAAGAGATAACTGAAGCCATACTGGCTTGGAAGTCACCCAGATTAACAAGGTCCACATCAGGTGTTGAGGAACCAGCAACACTGATGAAAACTGGGCTACTGTAACAAGAAAGCATAAGTGGGCAAGGGATGAGAACCGGGCTTTTTTAATAATTCTAATAGAACTCTATTAGAATATGCCCCAAGGTTTCATTAGGTTTATTTTATAACCTATGGTCATTTCAATAAGGGGAGATCATTAGAAAGAATGAACATGATTTGTTGAAAATATGAACAGAATATAGATAGGCGTTTGGCCGTTAGACTCCAATGGCCTGTCTTGGCGGATCGGCGCTTGAGTGATGAGTGGTGGACATGGGGAGAAGGTCGGTTGCACAAAGGCGTCTGCAAAGGAGAAAGACAGATGCGCAGTGAGATTTAAATTACGCAGCATGAATTGGCCTGGAGAATGCCGGGAGAAGGTGATCTGACCAGACCAGTGATAACACAAACAGCTTGACAGCGTGGGAAAGTGAGAGTGAAAAAGCTTAGATTTAGCCAGCAGCACCTAGGAGTGGACAGATGTGAGACCATCAATCTTCCTTATTGAATGCATAAGTTTCATTATGAGAGTCTGAAAAGAGGATTATCCAGGCTAAGCACACTAGCTCATAATTTGTCAGTCACAAAGTATGAGCCAATGAATGAGCGCCATTCCTCTCAAAATCCATTTCACTTCGCAGGTCAGGTCCGGGTTCAAAACATCAAGCCGGTGATGCTGAAACTGCTGAGCTCGAGGTTTCAAAATGCAACTTCGTAAGCCACGAGCCTCTGTATACCAGCTATGTTTGACATAAAAGCACACTGTGACTACATTTATTTATGCTGTAAAGTAGGGCATTTTGAGATTGGAGTGTTTTGTTTCAACTAGCCTTTGGAAATGGCCTCAAGTGGCCATTAGAGGAACTGCAGTTTGCCACACTTGGAAGCTGGCTTTAGGATGTTTTGCAGTCTGTCTGGAGATCCCTTTTTGAAGAGGACCAGAAATGTATTTTATGCATTTCAATCATGCTAATAGTGTTAGTAAAAATAAATTTGCTTGAAGTAAAAAATAAAAGTGCCTACACAAAGCGACTTGGCATAGCCTTCCAGCTATGCAAAGTCACTACATAAGCCCCAGGGCTCACAACTCCCTGAGGCAGGCACAAATGCGATGGTGGTTTTATGCAATGCTTACCCACTTAGAATAAATAAAGCGGCTGAAGTGACATGCTTTGAGTTTGTGTAGCTATAGGTGTAACACGTTGCCTCTTTAAGGCAGAAAATCCAGAGAGAGAGAGAGAGAGATAGTGCAGGGTGGGGGCTGGAGAGAAGAGGAGAGAAAAGTGGGAGCCAATAAGAGGCAGTGGGAGCAGACACAGTGTTTGTGACACCTTGTGGTGGAGCGTGAGGGGGTGGCAGAGTTTGAGAGAGAGAGAGAGAGAGAAAGGAGGGGGGCACCACTGGATAGAGAAAGAGAGAGAGAGAGGGAGAGATCAAAGCAAAAGAAGAGACAGAGGAGGAGAAACGAGGATGAGAGATAGCAGCATTGCAGCGAGAGCGAGCGCGCGAGAGCCCTTCCTGCCTTTGCAACGAGTGTTTACTCCACTTTTCCTGAGAGCCGGTTATCTCCCCTCTGCGTGAGTCATGGAAGTGATTTACTGTAGGTGAGTGGAGCGGCGCGGCAGCAGAAATACACAGATCTGTGTGTGTGCGTGTGTGTGCGGACCGTGGGGAGGTAAGATCGCTCCGTATCTCCCTGGATGTTATTTTCACAGTTTGGTCCCTTCATCCTCTTTTTCTTTCCCATCTCGTCGTGAGAAGCCGTACAACCAACTTCTGCGGAGTTTGGGTCTTGTTCAAACAGCCGCTTCTCCTCCTTTCCCCACATTTGTCCTCTCAGGCGTAGGATACTTTGTGCTCGTGCAGGCTGTACACACACTGTGTAAAGTGTGAAAGGCACGCTGCAGTCTCTCTCTGACAGTCTGAGCAGCATTTAGTGCTTCTGTATTGACAGTCGGACTCAACGGGGCTGAGGGCTGGAAGAGGATGAGAGGGAGATGACTCAAATCTCTGCTTGAGGGACCTGGAGGGTAGCAGCATCAGTGATGATGATGTCGATCTGTAGAAGAGCAGAGATGGAAACAGAGAGAGAGAGAGAGGGAGGGGAAAAAAGAGATAATCTTGCACAAATAAGCCTTGGCTGCTTGTCAGATTTTTACATAGTATTTTTATGTCTGTGACAAAGCTGATGCCAAGTGCGTGCATGTAGATCCTGTGTGATGGCTCCACAGCTGGATCTTCTCCCTGAGCATCTCTCTATGTCCCCACTAACTGAGGTGTGCAGCCTGTGGTTTTGTTGGTGTGTGTGTGTGTGTGTGTGTGTGTGTTTAAGGCAGGTGATCAGAGATTTCTGGCTCAGACATCCTGAGTGACAGCTGAGCTCTATCACAGCTTTCATCATGACTCAAGCTGGTAAACTGTAGCTCAGCTTGTGACACAACCCCCCCACCCCCCACCGTCAGGAGGGAATAACCTGCCTTCATCTCATGGCTGGATTAGAGTGATTTACTGTCGCTCCCCGTTAGCCTGGATGTGTTTGTGTGGGGTCTGACCTATTATGGCACCTAATGGCCTCATATGTTATTTCCAAAAGGACATTGTCAAATGGTAAACACTGTTGTCAGCCACATCCAGCTGGACTGACAACAGTTGTTATTAATGTTAGCTCTAGTTCTGACCCCTGTGAAAACTACTACTGGCAGATGTGCTGGACAAGAATTAATAGACCCTTTAAAATTAGAAATTACATTTAGTGCAGACTGGATTTACCATCTTTCCTTCACTCTTGCTAAAGGACAACTCCAGAGGATATTTTTATCTTTTCTGGCTGGCCCGCAAAGTAGTCCTCAACACAACTCTTGATTGAATGTACAAAATATTAGGGTCACTGCCCTCGCATTGATCTTCAGGCCCTCTCTCCACATCCCTGTTTTCTTGCAGCTTAAAAATCCTTTTTCATTGATTCGTCACCTCCTTTCTACCTGCACTCTCTCTGTTGTGATTCATATAGATTTAATACGGGGAATCAATGAAGGAAATGGCTGGATTGACCTCATCTGTGTTGTTTGTGGAAAGACAAAGAGCTTCTGACACCTTTTTAGATTCAGTTTGTTACCCTGTGAGAACTGCCCGGGACTTTTAAACAAACACATTCGCCTTCTTTTAAATTCGAGACATCATATGAAAGATTCAGGGGTGCAGACAGGTGAAATAGCTCACGCTCATGGATCGATGAACAGGCAGGGAAAAAAGTGTAAATGAGAGAAGCAACAGAGCTAATAAACACAAATGGCAAGTTGTACCACAGTTGGTATTACTTACAAATCAGTGTCAGTCTGCTACCATCATATCGAGCGAGCAGAGCTAAATTGGGCAAATAAAGTTTTTGAAGCATGCACCGAATTTCTTGAGAGCAAAACAGTTTTTTTGTTTGCTTGTTTTTTACAGTACAGTCCTTTCATGTTCACTCACATCACTCACTGCACTTTGAGAAATAGGAGTACATTAAAAGTGCACTGCTGTCCTTAAAAGTGCAGTTTAAACAGTAAATGGACAAGTACTTATAAAACACTTTTCTACTCTAACTCAGCACTCAAAGCACTTTTTACTCCAAGCCTCCTTTACCCGATCACACAAGCATTTTTTTCTCTATATTCAAGCACCTTCTCTAATATTCACACCGCAATAGATGAATTGCAACCTAATGATCTGCTGACATGGAGACTGTAGCTGGGCAGCGAATCGTCAACCGACTGGTAGACAATCGGTCGCTCTACCTCCTGAGCCATAGCCGCCCTGTCAACACCGAAGTAGCCTGCAGGGTTGATTAGTGGTATCCAAAGTAATTAGGCGTGCAATCTCAAGGGTAAAAAACCACAAACAATGGTATACATGTTCCCAAGCAATAATAGGTGCATCATTGCACACTTTCATTTAGCTTTTATGATTAAATATAAATATAAAGGGCAGCACGGTGGTTAGCACTGTTGCCGCACAGCAAGAAGGTCCTGAGTTCAATTCCACCATCAGGCCGGGGTCTTTCTGTGTGGAGTTTGCATGTTCTCCCCGTGTCTGCGTGGGTTCCCTCCTGGTACTCCGGCTTCCTCCCACCGTCCAAAGACATGCAGCTTGTGGGGATAGGTTAATTGGATAATCCAAATTGCCACTAGGTGTGAATGTGAGTGCGAATGGTTGTCTGTCTCTGTGTGTTGGCCGTGCGACAGACTGGCGACCTGTCCAGGGTGTACCCCGCCTTTCGCCCTATGACAGCTGGGATAGGCTCCAGCGCCCCCTGCGACCCTGAAAAGGATAAGCGGAAGCGAATGGATGGATGGATGGATTAAATATAAAGTTTGGTAAAATATTAATGTTGCTCTTAGATTTTAAGATTTTTACATTTTACCATACAATAGTAGAGAGAAAACTCCAACAATGAGGTGACTCCATAAGTCAAGCACTTGGCAACAGTGGGAAGAAAAACTCCCTTTTAACAGGAAGAAACCTCCAATAGAACCAGGTTCAGGGAGGGGCGGCCATCTACCGTGATGACCAGTTGGGCTGATGAGAGGGAGACGGGACAAAAGACAAGCTGTGGAAGTGAGCCAGAGATTAAATATTAACTAATTACTAAATGCAAAGTAGTAAGTTAAATGAAAAAAAAAATATTCAAGTCTCATATTGTGTTTCACTTCTATATTGGTGGCAGACTTTTAGCACTTTTGCCTCACAGCATGAAGGTTCTAGTTTCAGTGGGATCATTTCTCCCTAGGCCTGTTTGGTTTTATGCTATATGAAGTGCAGTGCATTTCCGAGGCTATGAATTTATAATTATAAAAATATTGATTGATTATTACCCCAGGATGCAGTATTTTAATTTTTTTGTAAAAGATGCATTTTTGTACTCTTACATTACATTTTAAAATGGTCCTTCAAAGCTGTTCTCTATTGGGCCAGAGATGTTTTCTGTCAATTATCTTATAGGATAGCACCCCAATGACAAGCTTTTGTACCTCTAATAGGACAATAAAGGAGCATTTTTAACACTCTCGTGACGCAACTTGTCTTCTGGTTACAAAATATGAAATGTCCACTCAAGATTTGTTTTATGTCTATGAATGTTCCTCAGTGCATTTTAAAATCTCAATTGTCACGTTGCACCTCTGTCTTTGAGAAATATTGTTAGTTAGTAAGAAAGCAGAAGTCTGATGGGAGCAATTCGACTTTTGCCAGTTCATAATAAATATTCACTTTCTTTGTCACTGAAACACAGTTAAGTGTTTATGCTTGCTCAAAAGCAGCACTAGGAGAGCCTTGCTGGTTGAAAAGTTTCACATTTGTTACCGACAGGAGGTGCTGGGTGTGGTAACACTTGTTATGCGCAGCTAAAATGTCTTGGTGCTACATCACTGCAGCTGGTGTGAGAGTGGAAGTCAGTAAAAAACAAAGAAAATCTTGGTTGACTGAAATTGTAGCTTCTCTTCGATTTATTTATGTTGGATGGGTTTGTGGTTGTCATTAGATTAATTAAATCTCCTTCAATACACCGAGTGCACACTCAAGGCTTATTCACCAAAATTAATTAGAAATAAAAGTAAAAAACTAGCATTTTAAGTGATATTACACCTTGTTATGATTACAGATTTGTACACCTGCCTATACACTGCTTAGTCAAATCCAGGTGTTTTTTTGTAATGTAATCTTTTACATTACATTATTATGCTGAAGAAAAACAAGCCTTTCTGAGTAATAAATCCCACACATGATATAATTCTTTATATATCTGATGAAAGAGGAGGCTTCTCTTGTAGCATGGTATGCGTGTTGCTGCTGCTGGCAGGTACTGGGAAGCTGCTACAAACCTATAAATAAATCACACATATTGAAATATGTCAATTCTGCTGTGTTTACACTCAAAGCCTTGAGTGGTAAATGTAAGATGTGTTGAAACATCGGTACACAGACAAGTTAGCTTTCTGTTTTTAGAAGATATGGTGTGTGGCTTGCTGAGTTTGTGATATATAAAATGAGATTCAACTCGACTTTTTCTTTTTAATGGGGTCCGTCAGTTTGGAGATAAGTAAACTTTCTGCAAATTTAGGTTAGACTTGCAATGTTCATTAGGTTATCATGGACTGAGGAAGAAGGACCCAAATACATACCAAAACAAGTAAAACTGTGAAAACTGACTTTAAAAAGTCCATGAGGTACAAAAATCCAAATAGTCCCCCCCAAAAACAACTGGTGCTCTAAAAAAGAACTCAAGGACAGGCTGGGCTAATAGGGAATGAGCTGGGAAACTAAACACAGCTAAATCACATAAAGTAATGAACAATAGTTGAACTACAAAACATAATCCAATGACATGACAGAGGAAGTAGAACTACGCAGCAAGTGACTGCCACAATAAAACAGGAAACAGGAAACCCAAACATGAAAACTGAGACAGAGACTTAATTAAGACACAGGGAACACAGGGGCAGCAGGATAAACTGAAATACCGAATTATAAAATATTAACAAAACTAACCATGACCAGATCCCACATAGGTAAACTGTAACAAAGATGAAAATTAAACAGAAAGAAACCAACCTGGAACATTTTGGAATACAAAATATGAATCTCTAAATATCACAAATGCAAATGCAAAAACTCAAATTCAGGCATGAAACCTGACGTAGGTTTGGTGTGTTCAAAGCTGTCACAATTTAGGGTGTTTAAAGTTTCTTTTTCCTGCATTCCAAAATTTATGTATTGGTCTTATTCGGCTATTGCAGTTTCCATTATGTCCTTTTTAAAGTAACACATTGTCAGACCAACAAGGATGTGCTTGCACAAGAGCAGGTCAACCGGCCAAGCTGTGAGACCTGAGACTATAGCAGGTCTTACAGGTTTAAGATCATGTCAAGCAGCATAAAAAAATCAATAAAATAAAAAACAACAGTTTTTCTTGCTTTTAATTTCTGGGTCCCTTCTTTTGTCCTGTATCTCTCCCCTAACACCCAACCAATTTCTTTTTGTTAAAAGGGAGTTTCCTCTTCCCACTATCGCCAAGTACTTGCTTATCGGGGGTCATCTGATTGTTCGGGTTTTCTCCATTTATTGGGTCTTTACCTTACAACATAAAACACCTTGAGGCAATATTTGTTTTTTATTTGGCACTAAAAAATTGAATGAAATTGGATTGAATTGAACTGAATTCTGCAAAAACAGAGTAGCTGAACATAAGCATATTTGAGTAGACAAAATCTGAAATTCAGTAGATATTCCATTTTTTGATAGTTAACCTCCAATCAATTAAGTTTCACTTCTGAATCATTAAATGAATCATTTAATATCAGTCATTTTATGTTGTAGCTGCAAAGTTATGATGCACAAAACAAAATGCAGTACACAAACAACAAGGCTCAAACAGAACAGATATGTGAAAAAAAGCATGTCACAACAAACCTCATAACTAGAAAAAAATAATAACAAAACAATTTCACAATGGAACAATAGAGAGTGTGTTTTGATGTGCCTTGGCCTTGAGTCGTTGCGCTCCTTTTCAGCTTTGTCTTCGACAAACTAAAGTGTGAAAAATATGGAGGGTGGGTGGACAGCCTACTTTTAAGCAAGCAAGCGAAGTCTACACGGCCATCTGCTCGCACCAGAATTTTCTTTTAATCAAGGCTGCAGCCCCACAAGAAGCAGACTCCCTCTCACTCCCACAATTTAGCATCTTGTATTAAGTGGGAACAGAACACTCAGCATAACATGATAGCTACATCAAATCCAAGTTGAAATCCAAGAGTGGCTTTGGTGCCATAAACAGATGCTCCATTTGACAAATTAGTCAGAGATTTGCTGTTGGACGCTCGATGCTGATGCTTTTCCTGAGCAGCTTCCTTTTTATTTTTAGATTCTTTTTCTAACTTTGTCACAAACACACTTTATGTTAGAGTTTTACTGAAAATCATTAAAAATGTGAATCAGATTCTTTGAATACACATTAAATCGGAATATAATGCATTTAAAACATAAGTATCTATGAATACACATTCAGAAGACCAAGTACTTTATTGCAGTGTTTCCCAACCACTGTGCCACGGCACATAGGTGTGCTTTGAGAAATGATCAGGTGTGCCATGCAAGATTATCTGATTCCACCTGATTAGTGCTCTAAACGATCGGCGTAACGGGCAGAACAATTACATCTCTTCCACTAGAGGGCAGTACAACTACCTGCTCTAATTAAATGGGTTGCCAACTGGCAGTAAAACAGAAGAAGACTAAGAAGAAATTACATAATAGTCATGCTGTGAGCTGACACAGCACATAATAGCGATAGATAAATATTTGAAAATAAAAAGTAATCAATCTGATCTGGGTCTTGGAGAAAATTCCGACCCAGATCAAGGCCCTATGCGTAGTGGTCAGAAGAAAGCAAAAAATGGGATATTGGGGACTACCCGAGCCAATTCTGCTATACCTGGTGCGCGGGGAAAAATTATCAATATGCTTTTTGTGATATTTTTGTTTGGTGCTGTGTGCCATGGCTCCAAAAAGTTGGGAAACACTGCTTTATTGTACATTTGGTGGTACAATAGCTTGCTACTGCGGCAGTACCCTCTTATGGACCTTCTTATTGTGGTAGGACCATTGTACCCTTAACAAAGAGTAAAAGTTTGTACTTTTGTGGTTTGTCCTTTACAGACACCAGTCTTCAACTTTTAGTGGCACTTTTCTATGTTCATGTAAAGCTACAAAAACTGACATTTAAAAAAATGCATTCATTCATACACAGTGGTTTTCACGTCTACCTAGCACCTATAGCACATTTTTAGCTCATTTTTGTAAACACAAAGACAGCATGGAGACAGCTACATCTTTTCCTTCCCATTGCAGATAACCTGAGAAGGGTAAACCTGTGTTTGTTAGTTTGTTTTGTATAAAATATGATTATAAATTAATTCAAACATTAACAGATAAAACAATAAACAGGTTAGGATAACCCTTTAATGGCCAGCAGCCCTGTGGGTACATAGTACCGTACTTGTATTGTTTAATTCAATCCAATTCAATTTTATTTTATTTATACAGCGCCAAATCACAACAACAGTCGCCTCAAGGCGCTTTATATTGTAAGGTAGACCCTACAATAATACATACAGAGAAAAACCCAACAATCGTATGACCCCCCTATGAGCAAGCACTTTGGCGACAGTGGGAAAGAAAAACTCCCTTTAATAGGAAGAAACCTCCAGCAGAACCAGACTCAGGGAGGGGCGGAGCCATCTGTCGCTTCTTTGGTGTTACGTAACGAAACAGTTACCAGACACTTTATGTCTTTCTAGAACAGGAACAATGTGCTATAAACATTCCTCAAATATTTTGGTTCATATTGACATGATAGCATCACACAGCTGCAGATTTGTTGGCTACACATCCATGATAAGAGCCATACATACATCACATCCCATAGGCGCTCTATTGAACTGAGTTCTGGTTACTGCAAAGATAATCTGAGTAGAAAGAACAAAATGTCATGTTCAAGAGCAGCGGTCCCCAACCTTTTCTGCGCCACGGACCGGTTTATGCCTGACAATATTTTCACGGACCGGCCTTTAAGCTGTCGCGGATAAATACAACAAAATAAAACTAGTACCGGTACCGAAAAAAAGAAGATTTATTCATATTTTTTTGGATGGCGATATCTGAAAACCAATAAAAACCCTGAAAACCATACATTTCACACCTGAGCCTCAACTCTCGCGGCCTGGTACCAAACGACTCACGGACCGGTACCGGTCCGAGGCCCGGGGGTTGGGGACCGCTGTTCAAGAGGATAATTTGAGTGTTATGACAAGCTGTGTTATCCTGCTGGAAGCAGCCTTCAGAAGATGGTACACTGTAGTCAAAAAAGAGATGGACATGGCCAGCAACAATACCCAGGCATTGTTGTGCCTGTCTGAATTTTAGCTGCAGTTCCTAGGGGTGGCACCTGGTGTGGTTTTCGGCTGCTGTAGCCTATCAGCTTCAAGGTTTGACTTCAAGGTTCAAGGTTTACATTCAGAGCTCTTCTGCATTCCTTGGTTGCAACAAGTGGTTATTTGAATTACTCTTGCCTTCGAAGCACTCTGGCCAAGCTTCTTTGACCTCTGACAATAACAAGGGATTTTCAGCTGGTGCCAGCCAGTGGATATTTTTTCTCACATTGTGTGGGAAATACCAGCAGATAAGCAGTGTTTAAAATACTCAGACCAACCCGTCTGGTACCAACAGTCATGCTGCATTCAAAGTCACTTAAATCTCCTTTCTTCCACATTCTAATTCTTGGTTTGAACTTCAGTAAGATGTCTTGATCATGTCAACATGCCTAAATGCATTGAATTGCTGCAATTGGCTGATTAGATATGAGCAGTTGAACAGGTGTACCTAAAACGTCTGCTGTTACAGAGATGCTCAATAATGAGAGTGTTCTGTCTGAACACATACGCAATGTTTTGGGGAAAAAAACCTGTTCATCAGAGAAAATGCTGTTTGTGAAAGTCTAATGCTCAAGTCTGACTGAACATGCAGTCCTTAGTCTCTAATGGACAGACACTTCATTAGAGTGTGCGTGGGTGAAAGAGCATTATAGTCTTTTAAATGATAAAAATAAAATGTGTCACCTTATATTTGTTTCTTTTCTGCTCTGTTTCTTTTTTCTTTCAGGCTGTCTTATTGTTGTGATTAAATCTGCCCCATGCCAGCACAGAGAGCGAACACAGGGGACAAGCAGCACACAACCTGACCACATCAGCAGGCAGGTACTGGTTTTGTATTCTAACTCTTGTAGTTTCTTTTTAAAAGTGCTTCAGGGTTCAGTATGTGAATGATTTTTTTCCACAATGTTGTCAAGTTTGTTGTAATCACACATTTTAATTGTTGCCACAAACGTGACTCTTGTCATCAGAACAGCACAGGCACTGCTAATCATTCTGTGTCATCATTTCTTCGAATGTGATAATTCGCAGCTGTAATTGTATGCAAAATCTGTGAATACTGTTTGTTCTGGAATTGGGCTGTGAGTCAGAAGTCTAAAGAAAACAAGCAGAATAACACTTTGATTTTTACAAACCCTTGAATGCTTATCAGTTCTGACCTACCTGAGGCAAAAGGAGATGTGTTGAGAACTCAGATCCTGTGAGAACATTTTTCTGTTAATATCATTTTATTTGTATTTTGAAGCATTGAAGAAGAGCATTTAGTTCTTTCAGGTTATGACAGTTTTTCTGGTTAATGTAACTAAAAGCAAAACTAGGTGTAAAAAAACATTTTAGTTATATGAAAAAATATAAACAGAGGAAATGTCCTTGGTTTTGATCTTTTGCCAATTTGTCAGTTGCCTGTCGTTGCCTCCACTTAAAATTTTGCCAATGACAAAGACTTTCTTTATTATAATAACTAAAAAAGATGCATATGGTTGATGCTGCTCTTGCAAGCCACTTTGCAACCCAGCTTTACCACAGCACCTCTATTTCATGTTATTTCAGACTTGATCAGTGCCATTTCCAGTTGACTGTGAAGGCTGCTCTGTTCTTTGCCCCTGCTCTCCCTCCTTTTTAGACTTTCCAGGTAAAGCTTGCAGAATGACAGGGAATTCCTAGAACAGAGCTATACCAAATATAACTGCAGATGAAATAATAGTCCCATTTTCTCTAAATGACTGCAAATTTAACAGTTAAACAGGTTAAAGGTTCATCGAAATTGATGCGTCTGAATCTAAATAGCATGTGTTCAACTTCCAAGCTCTATTTCTCAGCAACACCAACCAAAACTACTACCCTATATGATAAACACCCACAGATGTTTGTGTCCAGTAAAAGGGAGACTTTGACATGCATAAAGATTATTGGTGCTGATCGGGTGTATGCAATTGCTTCAGGGTGCGACCTTAATCTTTGCCTTTCCTGGAAGGAAAGTATGTAGGAGATTTATGATGCACTTATAATCTAACTTGTATATCTAAATAAAACTCTTTTTCTTTCATGCTGAGAGTTGGACGAAATGATTGACAATAAAGATGAAGCTGCAATCAGCTTAGCTTAGTATAAAAACTTGAGATTGAAGAACAGATAACCGGCTGTAAGCTTTGAAGCTTTATTTTCCCCCAAACTATTTTTTTTTTGGTTGGGTTTCAGTTAAGCTGCTTTTGACTCCTCCCTCGTCACAAAGGGTTGCTACAACAGGTAGCTCTGCATGTTTGATTTAGCACTTTTACACCAGATACCCTTCCTGATGCAACCACAATGAGTATTTGTGTCTCCAGCTAGAATCAAACAGCAACCTTTTGTTTGCCAAGGAAGGTTTCAGACATGTCAGGTATCAGTAAATGCTATTAATTCTCTGTTGCTGACTCTTTCAGATTGAGAGAAGGTTATGATATTGTCGACACCAACACTATGGTCCAGAGTTCTTCTGAAGTAGACATTAAATTTTAAATGTATTTATTTGCTGAATTACATAGTACTTTGGCAAATAACTTACAGCATTAACTGTATTACTCTGGGTCAATTCACGTGTACGATGACGTTTGATATTCTCCACAGGTTGCTTTGCTGTAGCTTCTAATATACTAAACCATGTGGATGATTGATTAATGGTCACATTCAGTCCTTGTTTTAGTTTTCTTTCAGCTTAAGTGTTGATCGGTGCTAAGCGATTCCTGATAAAAAAATCAATAAAATGGGACACAGGGATGAATTAAAAAATACTTTTATTAACATGCAGCATGCATGTTTGCAAGGACAGGCATCCTGAAAACATTTAATTGGAGAACATAGACCATAAAGTCTGTAAGTAATAGTTCATCAAACTATCCACATATTGAAGTGGAACAGACCAATTATTAATTATTTAAGGGTAAAGCTGGTATAGCTTTCCTGACTATTCTCAGATTAAGACAGTAACCAACCAAGAACTGACTGCTAACACAGCTTCTGTCTGTAACCAAAGCCTGATACATCATATTTATGTGGAACTGCATGGAACTTCACTGTTGTCCCGAAACTATTAAAAACTCATCCACATGTCATTAAGAGATATCTTCCTTCATTACCATAAATACATATCCTCCTGCCAAAAATGCTTCTCTTGGAAGAATACACTTAAATTAAAATTTCACAGGTCTACACTACCCAGTATGTTACAGTCTTCTGGGGTTTTTTTAAATACAGAAACTATAGATTTTGTGAGTCTTGCACGAATTTCCTTATTTTTATATAAAAATGGGAAATATGTGCAGTTATTTACTGAAGCATGTGGAGGCATTTTGTACAGTTCTAACAAGCTTGAAAGTCGATGTGTTCTGAACACCTTTCTTCTTCAACACAGTCTGAACTCTCTCAGGCAAGCTTTTCTGTGATATCATTAAGTAGTCCTGACGAATAGTTCTCCGGGCTTCTTGGAGGACATTCCAAAGCTCTTTAAAAGCTGTGTTTTGTTCTGTCCTCTGCTGAGAAGATCCCACACTGCTTCAGTAACGTTGAGATCCAGCTCTGGGAAGCTGATCTGTAACTGATAATGTCGTAGTGTGTGCTTTTCCTATCCAAGTATGCACGCGATAACTTGAGAACAATGCGACGTCGGATTTTTAAATTCATACCACAAGTGCATCTGCTGGGAGGCTGAGGGGTAGAACTGGACGCTTCTGTATTTTCGCTGTTTCTGAAGGACATGACATTTGGATAATTTTCATTTGCTGTAATTTTTCTTAGGCTTCCCACTGCTTCTTTGTACTCAGATTGTCCAGTTTCCCTATTATTTTTATACAGTGCACACAATGATAGACATATCTAGTTTTGTTGATGCAAAAATATTATTTTATGTCACACTGTGTTATCCTTGACAATTTTCAAAGATTGAGCTAAAGAAATATGAACATGTTTTTGGCTGCTAGTAACAAGTCCCTTGTTAGTTCCTTGCCGGTGCATCCCCTGGTGCCTTTGTCCATCCATCCATTCGCTTCCGCTTATCCTTTTCAGGGTCGCGGTGGGGGGGGTGTGCACACCGGGGGCTCCGACACATTTATACAGCCGTATTTCGCATATGACTATGAAAGGCAGAAGAGGAAGTAGTTCCTTCCAAATTAGATGATTCGAATGATATAGTTTCTTTCCACTGCGTTCATTTTAATGGAAAAACTACAAATTTACCCCAGAGTACTAAAATATCGATATTATAATATGAGAATCGATTCTAGAACATAAATTGCTGGTATCGGAAGAATCGATATTTCAGTATTGATCCGCACACCACTACTGTTGTCTTTTGTACGTGTTTTGGAGTTTTTACGTGATTTGAAGTTTGTATGTGCTTTGTCTCTAGGGGCCACCGTAAATATACTTTTATTTATTCACTCCACATAAAATGTAATAAATAAATCATATAATGCAAATACCAACTATTCACATTTCAACTTTTAACTATTTACATTTTCAGCTTTTTCCTTTTAAAAATTTAAAGTGAAACAACACAAAACACTGCAAACCACAACACAATTAAATATAAATCAAAATATGAAAACAAAAAGAAGATGCACATTCTCTGTCATATGGACCTGCATAAATAAACTTTCTGAATCCTTTATCATCTGCATCTGAAAATAGTTGTGGATGATCACTATACCTTTCTAATGTGACGTTGTTGTTAGTGGTGTGCGGATCAATACTGAAATATCGATTCTTCCGATACCAGCAATTTATGTTCTAGAATCGATTCTCATATTATAATATCGATATTTTAGTACTGTGGGGTAAATTTGTAGTTTTTCCATTAAAATGAACGCAGTGGAAAGAAACTATATCATTCGGATCGTCTAATTTGGAAGGAACTACTTCCTCTTACGCCTTTCATAGTCATATGCGAAATACGGCTGTATAAATGTGTCGCAGCCCCTGGTGTGCACACTCACAACAATGGCTGAGCGCAAACAGAGTCCTGTGTGGACGCGTTTTACCTCCACAAACAGCCCAGACACGGTTTGTGATATATGTGGCAAGACAGTGAGGTGTTGTGGCAACACCACTGACCTCGTCAAACACCTTGGAGTAAATCACATTACAGAATATGATAAGCTTATGTTGAGGTGAACTGAAGAGGAGGAGAGGGACAGGTGCTGCTAGGGCGAGACAGACGTCTCTCGCAGACGCACAACGTCAGTTTTTTTTTTATTTCTATATGATTATTCTGCATTATTAAGCAATAAAAACAAGTTGTTTGATGTCCTCTAATCATTATGAAGCAATATGGTTATGTTATTATTACAATTACATAATACAATTATATATTGCAACGAAACATTAAGTTTTTGTACAAAGTATCGGTATCGGATCAGTATCGCCGATACCACCCTGAATTTTACTTGGTATCAGATCGGAAAGGAAATCAGTGATATCGCACATCACTAGTTGTTGTCCCTGGCTCTCTTTCTCTCTCTCTCTCCCTCTGGCTCTGTTCCTGTGCTACTGAGTGTAACTACCGCCCCTCCCCCCTCTTCCCAGCGCAAAGCACAAGGCTTGCATGCTGAGTGAAGCGGAAAAAAGTGCGAGAGAGAGGGTGAGAGAAAGAAGAAAAAAAACCCCACAGCTCGCGATAAGGAGCCGGCTCGCGTCGTTCACGTCAAAGATCCGGCTCTAAGAGCCGTTTCGTTCGCAACCGACACATCACGTCCACCCTGGACAGATCGCTAGTCTGTCGCAGAGCTAACACATAGACAGAGACAACCATTCACTGTCTTCTCATTCACTTCAGCAAACACACCTATGGG